AGAACATACATATTTTTAGTAGGATATATCATCCTTATTATTGAAATCGAACGAAAGGCTTTCATAGGTCTAGAGACTTGTCAAGTAAGGATCTAAAGCTCCACCGATGCGACAAACTGAACAGACGTAAAAACAACGATTCGCCCAATACCTTATAACACAAGATGACATTTTTCTCCGTTAATATTTTTAAACATATCAATTGAAAACTTCTTGCTGTGTCATTACAACACAAGCTAATAAAGCCCTATCAGGGGAAAGTGTTTAGAAATAAATGATAGATTAATCTAGAAATTTGGGTGACAGACAAATCTAATGACATAAAGAACCAAGATGGCGAAAAATAAACCGTCAAATACAAACGGCTTGGTAACTGCTAGACAGTTATCCGACTCAATTACTCAATTACAAGACACGTATTAGCTGCAGCGCTCCCAAAACACCACAACGCACCATCACTAGGTACACTATGCGACGCATCTCTTGCGAAAACTGACAGGCTTATATCACATACTTGTCGACACATCAACTATTTTTAGGATAAATCTTTGAAATCCTTCGTTTGAGAAATCTGGTTCTTCTGACTTCGGGATCCTCGATTATAAATGCACCTCTAGCATCAATATAATTGCTTAGTTACATCCTGCTATGTCGTAAGTAGCCGTAGGCAAACAAATTGTTCTGCCTCAAAGATATGGGTAGATGAACGGTTATCACCCATCCGTTGCGGATGCTGATCAGATGCAGCACCTTCCTCCTTTCGAGATGTTAAGCTTTTTGAAGTTTAGTGGTAGATTTTAATGAATGTTTATAGTCTGAGCTCTATTTTCTTTGCACCTAGTCGGAATACACTTTCTATAATAGCTCCCCGTTACAAATAAAGCAGACAACTTCGGCTTCTGTATGTTGAACTGAATATCCATGTAGCATATCACACTTCTTTTAAGTAAACAAGTGGTATAAGTTGTAAGGTATGGGTCAGTTAATGAGTATTTTGGAGATAGGAAGGATAGACAATTGATGAGAGGGAATGAGAAAAAATAGTGTTACGAATTCATGAGTAAGGAGATAAATAGGTAATAAGGCAAGGTATTTGGATGATTATGAATTTTGGAAATAAAAATTTATGAAACTGTTAACTATAAACAAGAAGGAACTCACAGTAATACAGGAAGGTTGGGTTCCTTGTGATTAATGGTATTTGGGCAGCCCTTGCATACCTAGCAGTCTATCTGACCTCCTGCAAGCTGATAATAGCTTGTTATAAACTACCTCGACACTGACAGTTGTTAGCAACGCAATCATGGACATCGTTTTTGATTCGTAATCCCTGTAGTGGTTTACTTTTACGAAGAATACACAATAGCTGAAATATCAACATTTATTATTGTACTTAATTTTGACAATAAATGTTATACTCTACACCTCTGTACTAAAGACTATCTCTCGCGCACCAGGCGTGTTACTCCCATTTCCCCTCTTCGCACGTCTCCTGCGTGGACGTTAGGTTTTTGTACGCCCTCTTGCCTCGATATTATTTCGATATCACGAGGCCATTATCAAATATACTTCTTCCTCTAGAATCTGTCGCTTTCTTGATTCTCTGAGTTCGTGGAGTAATATTTGTTCTCTCGGAAAGAAGTATATCGTACGAACTGCTATATCCCTGTAGTGAGAGTCTTTGTGCTCGACATGCAATCACTGTTCTCCCCTTTACAACTATAATCTTGACTAAACCTCCTTAATAAATCTGCAGCCACTTGCTCTACCGAAGTGCCTTCGTATTATATCCATTAACTGATCACGTTTTAGACGCTGCATTTCTACCCAATTGGCAGTGAGTATGCACATCTTACTGTTTTTTTACATATATCTAGTTGCATGCTATATTCGTTGCTCTTAAACAATATACCATTACCACGTTTAATATCCATCCCAACTAATGTATAAATTATGACAGAATAACAACTAGTCTTTCAAAGATACACTCATGTTTGTCGTATTCAAGTCAGTTTCGTTTGTCCGTCATACGCAGTCGTATGTATTAGTATTTTCTTCATCTCTTAGCATAGTTTCCCAATAAATTAGGTCGAGAGCATTTCTCTGCAATGACCTTAACAACTCTAGGCTTCACAACCAACTAAAAATACAACACCTCTTATCTCAACTGCACAACTGCTATTCAGTTTCTCTACGAAATCTACTAATACACATTAGAGTACAACTCTATTTATCTACTCGAAATACCAGCAAGCACGCATACGGATTTGGCGTTTTATGTTTATTATCAACTGCAGTAAAAACGACGAATATCATCCATAACTAGGTTAGCATTCTATTGTGGTGTGTGCTACTTATACGAACGATATAAGTAGTATAAGAATGGACGTGAAAGAAGATGTCTTACGGTCAGAAGAGGAAAACGGAAAGCAAATAGAGCAAAAGCAAGAAAGATTTAGGGCACCGACAGGAAATAAAGGAAGCAACAGCAGGAATGGAGGAAGGCTGGAGCGTTGGAAGTCAGGACTCAAAGATGGTGTGCAAATGGAGTATTCAATGTAATGTTATCGTTTTTAATTGACTAAGAGTGTAAATTTGCCAAATACAATCTATTGAGCCTGCCTCAGTCTTCTCACTATGACCTGATTCCTATCACCCTACATAGAAAAACCATGCTATTCAAGTTCTGGTGGACACTTCGCTCGATTTATTACAACATGTTCATACTTACACATTCTTTATTAGCATTTTCTCAGCACCACAGAAACATTTTCACTATATTTCACTCCATTTTCGTGATTTATTCCCTTTCAATAAACTTAAACGACAAACGATTTGTCGCACGTTATTTTAACACTATTACAGAGTACTCATAAGGACGTGTTAATTTTCACATAAGACAGTAACATCATGAGCGCATATGAATCTTCTCAATAAACATATTTGTTTGCATATGATCGCATGCTGCCGCTTTCGTTTGTATACATGCCTGTACCATATTCACATAATTTTTTACGTAACCATGAGACTTTTGTATCATTCACTCATCCATCACGCATCACTGTACACTATCTAATATAGTGCATTTTTTCTCTGCTTAATATCGACCATAATCTCACACCTCCTCAGTGTTGGTTTCAAAAGCGGACATTTATTTACGAATTAATGTGCAATTTTCTACAAACAGGCTTCGTATAGTGCATTGATATTCCAAGCCTTCTCTGCTTGCCCTAGCTTTTAGACAAACGAATCAGCTTTTACTGCCCAAATTATCATTTACATGACTTTTGGAGCTGTCAATCATTCGGTCATAACCTTGATTGTTTTATCTGAATGTACACATGACTTCCTTCGCTTCAAGCTTGTTTTTGTCTTATTATAGATCCTTAGACATGTCACTGAAATGTCTAACTCACCTTTTCCGCTTGTGTTTGCTTCACTTTACTTTTACGCTCCACATTCTATAACCCATCCATTTATCGAATTCCTGTAACAAATTCATCTAAAAAGATCGCACAGACGAGGTTCGCCTAAGAATAATATGCAGATGTTGGAGGAGAGATTTGTTTAATTGCGTATCTAAATATTCGTCCGAAACAAAGTCAGATCATGGGCAACTAAAATAGTCTGAAAGCTGTTGTGTTAATTAGTAACTGATCACCGCAATTTCAAGCTATGAAGAAGTAGTTTGTTAGTCAGTCATATCAAACAACTTAGAAAATTCTTGAAGCCCTAAGCAGTCATAATTATTGGGTTTCAATCATAGGGTTCACCTTTTCGGAAAGTTAACGACTAGGTAACATTGATACACCATTCCTAGGACTTAATTCTTGTGAACACCAATTCGTTTACTCAACTAACTCTTTCACATCTCCTTGTAATTTCACCAAATCGAACACATCGCTTGTGAGTCTCCATGTCCCAATATCATCGACGAAAACGATAACGGAGAATTTCGCAACACCCAGAGCGAAATAGGATAAGGGATTCCATAGTCGCTCTGTGAAGTCCATTCCTTACAGATTCTGATACCGAAAACACCGTTTACAACTACTTCTTGCCTCACACCACTCAGTCTGCTATAACAAGTGCAGTAGGTAACTTTTCGTGCGCTTACCCCTGCAGCTTTTGACACAGTGAAGATCCAGGGTTTGTTTTCTCATTAAGTAGGTCTATGACTAGTTTCTCAACAGCAAGAGATGAGATAATGACAGAAGCGACTACAGTTGTTGGTTCATTGTAGTCTGATGTCAGGGTATCCAGTGGAAACTGTCATTCGGCAATGATTCGTCTAGGAGAGACGGTTTGTTAAGGCAGCATTATCTAAATAACTACAATGATAAAGTTATTGACCATTCGGTAAACATTTTGAGGGACGTACTTAGGCTCAGTTCTATAAAATACCTTGCGGACATCATTCAGAACCTAGAAGTGGAAAACAGCAGGGTAATTTGCTGCTGTATGTGATTTTTTTCAATAAATACAGATAATTGCTATAGGAGAAAAATTCAGGTATTCTTCGGAACAGAATTTGTAATATAATTTATTAATATTCTTCATCTGCTTCTCAAATAATCATAGGATCCAGCCTGGAGGCAATGATGATTATCTATTACTAAATATGGAAGCTCTTTAGGTGAAATTCTCTTTATTTCACTTTCGAACTTCTCAACTATCCGGACCAATTACCTGACACAGTTTTTGAAGAAATATAAAGAAGGCCATATGTTCTCCATAATCAAGAATGCTTTATAATCACCTGAACCTGTATTCAAAGAAAAAGATAATATCTCTATCCTGAAAAAACAAAGATTGAAGTTTTCAAGTTTTATTTGTTTTAACAAGTGCTATCACAAAGCGCACATTGTGTCTGAGTGCGTTACTAGTTATTTTGTTGTTAATTATGAGACTGACCTTCGGAGTACTCAGAAATCAGCTGGTCCTAAAACTGATAACTACCGTTGTTTGTTCATGCCCTGTATCATCTTTCTGAGCATGCCATGCAATTTGAGACCGCAGTTTGTCCATGTGAAAAACATACTGTTTTGTCTCCTAAAAAGGAGGCAAATTATGAGTGCGGAGTTAATCAATTCCCATCATCATCTTCAAATGATGGAAATCCACCTCCTATTCCACCGAAAGCTCCAAAACAAATTCCACCTCTTCCTCCAAAACACGTACCTCGTCCAGTACAACTAGCAAAGCACAAATGCATAAAATGTGAACCAACTCTCAATTTGCAAAACTTACATATCCCTCCTATTGGTGGCTTGTCGGATGTTTGTGCAGTGTGCAGGCGAACTTGTCTCCATCCACACTCCACATGTGATGTCGAATTAGTCGAAAAAGCGCACAAAGAGTCAAGCCAGCCCTTACTGAATTATGATGATCATAACTACAAGAGATGCCTTGAATATCCTCAATCTGTCAGTAATTGTGCGAAATCCCAGTACCCGTCACAACATAAGGTCGAAGTTAGTCGACCAGATAAATTCTCATCCGGTGGGAATGGTCATTCTTGTATGTTTATGTTCGATAAAAATGCTTCTGATACAAAAAGTAGACAGTCATCCATGTACAAGCGGTTCACAAAGCGACGTGTTTGTCATGGAGTCTCAAAGCACCACGATTCGGATCTATGCCAGCTAGGAAGGGAATCGAATTCGACATCTGACTTACTAACATCGAACTGCACCTGCTCTGCGAACAAGTGGGGTCTTACTAGTGGTAGTAAGGCGGGTTCTAACTGCCCATCAAACTCAAGATGCTTCTCCGCAGAATATCGTGGGCTCAATTTGATTTCAGATCATTCTGCTGGCCGAAAAATTTCTCGGTATCATCAGGAGCTGGGTGGCACAAACAAAACAAGGTGCGGTAGTTTACAGTGGATATCTGAAGCTTTCCAACGTATATTTCATGCTTCCAAGAGCCTCAGATCTTCTAAAACAACTTTTCTTCACCCACCGGATGATTCAGTTGTAAATCCAAAAAGTTTAACTCACTCAAATGAAAATAGGTTTTGCGGGCGGCTACAACCGCTTGTTCATAACAGAGATCGTGAATGGAAAAAAGATATTTTCGACCCAAAGTCCAGGTGTTTTTTCTCTCAACACAAACGATCTCTCAGCTGTAACAGTTCTTGTGTTGAAGGAGCTAGATTTAGTTCAGGTAATCAGAATGGCTGTGAATCTAATGCAACTGTAAATCCCCATATCGACCACCATTCGCTCCCACCCAGATCAACAAATAATCGGAGTTCTATCATTAAATGCAGGAACTCACTTTTTAGTCCAGATACAACAAAGAGACATTTCGAGCGCCTTGATAGTATAAGCCCTTCAAATGGTCGTTTACAACGTATGAATGTATCCAAAACTATAGGAGCTTCCCAGTCCAGATACCAAACTTCAAATCATTCAACGATGTGTATCAACCATAAAAGACCTGAATCTGCTCTTGCAATGATTTGTGCCTGTTCCCCCTATATATCCGGCCAAATAAATGTAAGTATTATCTCTATATTTTTCAATTTCTACAATAGCTTTTCATATATTCCGCGTGAATAATCAGGTTGTATAATTCTAAGTTGTTTATTAACCGGTGTTAGTTAGCACCTATTGTACTAAGGATACTTTTCAACGTTAGTGACTTTGCAGTATAAACTTTTAATAAAGTATGAGTTTATGGACTCGAATTTTTTAGCCATAATATAAGGGTTAGTAATGCTACCCTGCATCCTGAAACCTTAGTAGTTGAGGTGTGGTTTGAATCCGTGACCTGGTTGTGAACTTTAACCACTAAGCTCCTGTCGAACTCTTTTGCTTCTGTGAATAAATAACTCTGAACTCGCACTTCAAATCTAAGTAGTTTGACAAAACCTTGCTAAATATTTTCAGGTCTCACATGTACCTTCAGTCTAACCTTTCGTTTACCCTCCAGTCTAGAATCAGAGTAGTCACACACCGTGTTATTATAGCGAAGTAATTCTGATTACTGGTGAATAGCCAATGTGAATAATAACGTAACTGAAAGAAATCTAAAAATCACTCACCAACAGTCTAGGTACTTCACATTTTCGACGAAAAGCTGATTTGTATTCCAGCTAATTTGGCACGAATAAATGTCATTAAGGCCAGTAAACCAGTATATGATCGCGCACAACCTTGATAAATAGATCAGAGTTACAATGACGTGCTCAACTTTGGGTTTTTCTGCCTCAAATCCGTTTAAGTTACTCGATATTCGTAGCTATTAGCGTAGTACATTGAACTATATGTATGTAGGTTGTCTGACTTTACCATAACTTAAAAGTTAAGACACGAACTAGCAGTAATTCATAAATAGTTAGGTATATCTTGAGAGTTTCTTGCGTTATGAGGTCTCTCTGATCCTGTGACAAACGTACCTTAATAAGACATGCTTATCTACGGCTGTTACCCCTAATAGAGCACTGGCCGCCAACCACCTCTGTCTTGAGCATTCACCATACACCGTAGTTTCGCAGAAGCCATTCTGTCCACGCTATCAAGTGCTTTCTTTTAGCCGAGGAATTTGATGTATAGTTGTGAGTTCCATTCAAGTGATTGCTTGACAGTGATCCATAGTGTCGCGATTTGGTCAGTACACGACTAATCCTTAAGGAATCCTACATGCTGATCTCGAAGTTGAGCGTCTACTGAAGCTTTTGTTCGGTTTAACGACCCTATGTTGAAGAATTTTTCTGGTATTGAGAGTAGTGTGATGACTCTATTTCTCAAACTCGTCAAGATCTCCTTTCTTTGGTATCTTGATGAGATGTCCTTCTTTCCAGTCTCTTGGTACTTGTTCTTACTCCCAAATTTTGATGGAGAGAGGGTGGAACTTCACAATTATTGCTATGTCTGCTTTCAGTCACTCAGCTTGCATATTGTGTAATAGCAACTCACATGTATTGGGTTTGTTCATATAATTTTGTTCAGCCCTTATTAAGTTGTTTAAGACAGTCATTTATGTAGCAACAACTTATCTGTACCGATGCGCTTTTATCATTGTCGCGTTTGTATGAGCATCTAGGCTTGAGCATTACTTACCGACCACGTACATATTCATTCTACTCGCTTTAATGTTAGCCCCTTAAATAATGCGATGACTCATTCACTTTCCTATGTATATTTATGTACATTTTAATTGTATTCACTCACTTGGTTGTTCGCTTCCTCTTCTACACTCGCATATCATTTTCATTTCATATGCCTGTTGTTTTGTGATCTATGTATGGTGCGATGATGAATGTAATCAATGCTTCGTATTCGTTTTCTGATTTATATACCGTTGGGCGTTATCTAGCAACGGTTTTCAGGATGAGTAGTATACGAAGTTAAATTATATCGAATACCGACCACTGCAGCTCTAGTGTGCCCACATCCACCACATTCTGATCATTCTGCTTTGCCGCTCTTGATTTGTCTGATGACCGTGTTGATCTCTTCAATCGTTGGTGAGTCATCATCGGTTCAGAGGTCTGTAGGTGCTGCTTCGATGTTAGGTGAGTTCAGTGGATTTGGTCTATTCAATAGTTCTTCAAAGTGCTCTGCCAATCTGTTTCGCTGTTCGTGGATGTGGGTGATTACTTCGCCTCCCTTGTTTTTGACTGGTCGTTCTGGTTTACGATATTTTCCAGTGGACTTCTCGGTTGTATAATTTAGTTGTCTTCTTACAGTCTTACAGTCTTTTCTGCCATCATTGCCGTATCTCCCATATATTTACGTTTGTCGGCTTTAATGCCCCTCTTCACTTGCTTTTTCGCTTCTGTGTTCGGCCTGTCCCCTAGCTTTTTCTGCTTATGTCCGGCTGTTATCGATTGATGTCTTCGTGTTCTTCCTTTCTTCAATCTTATTTAGATTATCAATGGAGATCCATTTCTTGTGATGGTGTTTCTTGTGACCTAGAACCTCATGAAATGTTTAAGTAATTGCTTCTTTGATCCGATTCCGGTTGTTCTTTATGGCAGTTTCCACTTCTTCGAGTAGATAGTGAAATGCCTGGAACCTATTGCTGAGAGCTATCTTGAATTCGTTGAGTTTGTCAGAATCTTGAAGTTCGTATTAAACTTTTGTGATGTTATTTTCCCCGTTGTCCAGTGCTTCTTTAAGTTTCAGATTGGCCACCACCAAGCGATGGTCTGAAGTTGTCAACTTCTCTCTTTTTTCTAACTTACTACATGGTCCTTCTGAACATTTTACTGATGCAAATGTGATGGATTTGATTCTCTGTAGTGTAAACCGGTGAAACCCATGTAGCTTTGTGCATGTTTGTGTGGAAATATGGTGCTGTCTATGACCACGTTGTTAACGACACATACATTTGCGAATCTCTCATCGTTTTCGTTCCTTTCTCTCAATACAGATCGTCCAATGATATCTTCATACCCTGTGTTGTCCATTCCAACCTGGGCGTTTAGGTCTCCCATCAGAATGGTCGAATCCTTTGCCTGGAATTCCTTGACGATTGACTGCAGCCTCTCATAGAATTCACCTTTATTTTCAGTGTAATCATTGGTGGGTGCATAGCACTGGATTACATTCATCGTGATCCCTTCCTTCTATATCTGGAAGGATGCCTGACAATCCAGGGTCTGAGATTACCATTCTGTCAGTGCTTTTCGGTCTTTTGATAGCACCAGTGCAACTCTTTGTGTGTGAGGCATTTTCTTCTTCACAACAAGAATATGACGATATCTCTTCTGAAGCTAATCTTTTTTATATAGCTTACGTCCAATTGGTTCCGCTTGTTCCAAGTATTATCAGGTTGGATTGTTTCATTTCCACCGCAACTTAAATGGCTCTTCCGGTCTCCCACATTGTGTTTACACTCCCTGTACCTATAATAATTGATAAAACGTGACATTTCCTTTTTCTCATCGACTGTAGCTGGTGCCTTGATGTGGTGGTCGAGTTTATGTTGGAGTTTCTTTTTGTGAGCTGGATGCCTTGGTTGTAAGGTTTTTATTTTTCTGCTGACCAACATCATCAGAACAAACTTCAGGACGGGTTTGCCTCTCCGAATAATCTAGTCGAAATATGCTTTCTGAAGCACTTTAAGCAACATATGATCCACTGTACTTCACTTAAGTAGTCTCATCTGTGCTATTCAATAGGTTGAGGATAATTCTGACTTGGAGGTTTAAGCACCCATTAATATTGTCCCAGTAACTATAGTTCTCATTTTTGTGCGTAAATATAGATGGTTACTGAGTTCTTTTTCTAATATTCGGTGCATTAGTATTGTTCTGAATCACATGACTCGTCTAATATTCAAGCCCGCTTATTATTATATTCATGTTACATATTTTTACTTGAAATTTTTTATTCGAAACTAATAATCACTTGAATGTGTTTTTCTCTATCAATAACAGTCCGTTGATTCAACTAGAGAATGCTTTTCTCGTATGGGAAGTCATTCTTCATCTACGAAAGTTTCAGCTGGCAGTTGCCCTAACCACAAAAATCATAGGTGTTGCTTAAACAGTCCAAATTGTACAAGTATATCAAAACCTTATAATGGAAAAGAACAAAATATCGATGAAGTTACTTCTCCTCAGTTCCCTGAAGGAACACGCCAATTAAATGGCGATAATGTTCCACTAATTAAAGAACATGCAACTGATTCTAACTGTGATACTACAAATTTAGTTACTTCTCACCTTCTATGTGAGATGCCTAATGATTCCAACAAAACAGTCTTAAACTGCACTGAAGGTATAGAATTTGGAGCACATCCAACTACTATAGTCGATAAGAACGGTCAAATTCACCATGTTCATCATATCCATCACGTCCATCATGTTCACCATCATCATCATCACCATGAGTGTACAGATGGTGTCTCCAATGATATCGCATCTTGTCCTCTTAGTCCAGTTACCAGTCCAGTCGTTTGTGATAGACAACGTCCACCAACAACAATTGCATCTGCCTTGGAAACGTGCTTTGTAGAGGAAGCAGTAACCAGCTCTTCATTATCCGGTCAGAATCAGCAGACTGTTGGTTCAGAACAAGTTACTGTAAGTAAAGTTGTAGTAGTCATTTGTTTATTCAACATTTTCTTTCTGAAAATACCTTTCATGAACTCATCGTAAAGTCGGAACTAAATGCTACTACTTCTTTCTTTTTATAAGTTAAACATGTATTTTTCCAAACAATCCCAAGTGTTTGTATATTAAACGAATGCTTAAGTAGATGATTCACTGTGTAACAATGTTAAAAAGGTACTAAAACATACATCGGTACTAGTAAAGTAGTAAAAACTAAGAACTAATTAAATTTTGCAATTTTGCACGTAAATAACTAATTAAAAAAGTTAGTACCAAGGATTTTCATCTAACTAACTATATCTATCAAAAACCATGAATAGTTGAACTTCCATCATGCTTTTACTTGTGGTTTGCCAGGCTTCTACGAGTCTTTTGATATATCTGGGTTCAATTGTCAACTAGCAATAGGGGCACATTGTTTAGAAGTTTCAAACTTAAGATTTTCCAGTTAAATCTAATAGATAGTAAAAACCACAGCTCAGAAACCTCATATATATTATTATTATTGTTATCATTTCTACCATTACCAAGGTTCAACTTGATCATTTCAAATAAATTGAGATTGGATAGATAAAATAGTGTGTTTTTATCATCAAAATGATTAGGAAAATTAGAATTTTCCGACCTTTCATGACTTAGTGTAAGCCACTACTTCAGAGAATAAATAAACAAATTGAATTAATTTAAGTGCTGATGACCTGGTGACTGATGAAATCTCAGCCCGGATACAGAAGGCTCGATTGGCTTTTGCCAACCTGCGTCACTTATGGCGAAGGCGAGATATCCGTTTTCTAACTAAAGGACAAGTGTACTGTGCTGTGAAACATGGCCAATGAGAGTAGAAGATATTCGTAGGTTACTGGTTTTCGATCATAGGTGTCTTCGAAGCATTGCTCGTATATCGTGGGACACCCGAGTGAGCAACGCTGTTATTAGGAATCGGGTGCTAGGTAAGAATGGCAGATCAATCGATGAAGTGGTGAAACTTCATCAGTTGAGGTGGTTGGGACATGTGTTGCGTATGCCGAACCACCGACTGCCTCGACGAGCCTTGTTTTGTAGTGTAGGAATAGGTTGGAAGAAAGTTAGGGGCGGCCAAACCAAAACATGGCAGAAATCCATGAAGTCATTGACGAGTGGACTTAGCCATGTCGGTAACTGTCGACTACGTGGTTGGGGTCCGCAAGATGATAATAATCGATGGTTAGAGACCTTGAATGTCATGGCTCAAAATCGTTCGCAGTGGCCCCGGTGCATCCATTCTTTGTGTTCTCTCAAATCCTAATCTTCTGGGTTCTTCAACAACTCTAGTTTTGACTTTCTAAATTTTTCTCATTGAATCATACTTCTTGAATAATATCTTCTAATCCTAATCTCTCCGATTACTTCTAATACCTTTACTACCTCTTCTACTATTGGATTTGAATTGACAATTACATCTCTGTGCTGATGTGGTATGGCGACATGAACTGATGTACTTACGTACGAAATTCTTCGTTGCATCTGACTGACTGACTAAATCAAGATAAATCATAACAATCGAAGTTCGTACATAACTCATTATACTTTGAGCTACGATTGTAAGTGCCTAGAATTGTGTGCAAGTCGCGTGTTTCTTTTCATATACTCAGTATTAAGGTACTTTGTTTCTATGTGATTCGTTTTCAGTTAATTTCTTCACCAGGAACACATTAAAAACAAATTTTTCCTCACATCCCACAATTACGCAAATTATTATTGCGGAATGTGTTCAATAGGTTCTTGTTATTACTGTTTATGAAAGTCTATTCACCAATGTGCCTATTGTCATATTTTCCCTGCCAATCGCTTCTCACAGTCTACTGAATAATTGAAGTTTTAATTTTCCTCATCTGTTAACGGGATAGACTCTTGGAAATTTCATCTTCAATCCAAGCCTAAATCACTCAACAATAACTAGTTCCTTTTCGAACGATCCCCGCTAACAGACAGATTAGGAATGTGCATTGAGTATGAACGCTTATGTTCTTACTTCTCTACTTTTTGTTGTTTCAGCTCTTTAGAATGTATTCTTTTTCCTTTGTTATCCTTATCCAAACATGAGATGAAACCATTGAAGTGACATGGCGATAAGATAAATGAAAAGTTTCAATGTTACAGTCTTTCGTTTTAATCTTACAAATTTACTTTCCAATTTTATGGATACTGTTAAAGACAATATCTTGTCGATACCTTTTTTCACGTTATTAGGTGTATACTTGGATTTCATACAAGAACAGTTTTTAATGTCTCTCAGTTAACTAACACTCCAACTGGGGCCCTCCTAGGGTTACTGTCGGTCCCAAGCCTAGATAAAGAAGGAAGATTGGGCATGGAGTTAGCACCCCATCCTGTAGGAAACAAACTTGCTAAAAACGGTAACCAGAAAAAGTTATATTGAACCATTTAAACTCTGCCCAGGAAACTGGAAGGTTATGACGCTTCAGGTAGCTAGGGATACGTTTGCTATTTTCAGAACTCTAGTCAATAATCATTATGGTATCCGAAAAAGTAATCAAATTAATTTTTTTCTTGTTTCTTCATTTTCAGCCTGTGACCAGTTGTCATACATACAACGCCTATGATGTTAGAGCGTCTGATAGTAGTATCACTGTGTCAGCACCTATCAATTCATCAAACACATCTAGCCAAAGATTATCATCTACGCTACAAGAGAGCCGATCTTCATTCCATCGAAGCATGTTAGAATTGAGAAAAGTAAGTTGGTTATGATCATTTTCATTGATAATATCCTAATATTTGTCACTTCAAGCAAGCCCTGATGAAATTTATCCGAGGGAGTAAAGCTAAAATGCTAAGACTTTTCATGTCATGTTTCTTGTGTTCTTTTGGCGTAGATGACGCTTGTTTATTATCACTTGCAGAAATTAGACTTCTTTCTGTTGGTAAGGTAAAATTCCAACAATACGGAAAGAATATTTTGATGACATTAAGACGATGTACCCAATTATCAAGTGATTCTAATCAATATTGACTATTTTTCACACAAGTTTATAAGTTTTACTGTTGTGAAAAAAAACAATCTTATGAGAATGTTGTGAATTTATTTATTTTTCTAGGTTCTCTTCAAATTATTTAGCTTATCAATAGGATACATCTCAAGATTTATATAATGCCTCTGCTTGAGCAAGGCAGATTTTATTGTTATTCAAGAGCTTTCATCTTACTGATATGGAAATAGTTAAAAAACAAACTTGAACGGGATTGTTACTGACTTCTGTTCTGATCTAAGTGTAGGGATGTCATATAGCACCGACCCGCTGTATCTGTAGGCGCTCAACTAGAGGATACTGGTAGACTGACAGATGCTTAATTTCTAGTTCCATTCTTCTTTACTTGTCTATGTTGGTCACCTTTCCTTTCTTTCCATTTAGTCTCATAGTCTCTAAGTTATACTCAAAATGAAAATCACAGAGGAAATTCATGAAACTTGTTTAAACCTCTAAAGCTGGTGCCTCAAAATGTTAGCACCAACTGAGTCATCATCCTGTTAGAGCACTTGTTGTTAGTGTTCGGAATGACTAATGTGGTGTCTACACCAACTGGTCTAGAGATGATGATCAAGCATTCTGACTATGCTCAGGTTGTAGAGGTTCGTTGCAGGGGTGCCTTCATCTATATGTACACCCGACCATTTATATCTTGACTAACTTCTCAACAACCTCACAGGTGACTAAGATTGTTGTAAGTCTTTATGGCTTTAACCGTCGGTATATTTGATGTCATCCGTAGTATTGTAGGAACGATTTGATGATGATTTATTTGGTCTCGCGTGCTCTTATGAGTATGAGGGCGGATTTCACTTCCCAGTTGCTTACACCGTGGAAAGGTGTTTCTTCAGGAACCTGGAAAGGAGGGTAGATTAGTGTTGGTCTTAGAGACCTGGGAGAATGACCTCAGAGCCAAAAGGACAACTTCGTGAGGCTGGTCACGCACAGCCTTTTTATAAGAAGAATTTAAACTGGTAGCTCCGCTCTTGTTTAAATGGCCTTACCGCGGAAGACGGAAATCCGTGAGGTAAGGTGACGTGTGACATTTTTACAGTCGACCTTTTTTTAAACCCTTCCTTGTGAGAAGCCAGCATCGCTGAAGATGCTGGTTGTCCGAGGGAAACACCTTACTGCTATCACAGCTCTTCACAGTCAGCATTACGACCTCTCCCTTAGACCTTGAGTAGCTACTTTTAGTCTAATCGTTCTCCAATCGACCTGCCTGACTGGCATGGTAGAACCTACAGGAACACATGCTCCAGACAATATAGCTCGTTTTGCTCATCACAACAGCCAAGCCCAACCACTACGTAAAAGTATCATCTGCGTTCTAAACTACATGATTGAGTATTGTAATGGACTAACACGTTAAAACCAGATGGAATCATTGATTTTTTTTGATGACGACACAGTTTACTAGTAAAATATATTCACCTTATCTTTAGAATTTATTCACGAAATAAGCAGATTTTTGGCCGTCTTCTTTCACATGTCTTCTAGTCTTCAAAACCGTTCGATCATACAGTATTATCCTGATTTGACGCTCTTCTCTTCAACAGTAACTCCAGGGCGACACCCCATTGCATACTACTCATAAACTAACACAATATTACCGCCAATATCAACATAATAACCCAAATGTACGATCATTTCAACTAGTCCTGGTAACTACTCACAAAGAATAAGTATGCAAGCATAGGATTACTGTTAGAGATATGCTTTACTGTTGAATGCACTAGGTAAACACCGTATTATTTACTAACACTGATCTCGCTAACTCTGATAGCCTGTGTATCATTATTGAACCGTAAGGAGTCTTTATCCGCATACTCAAAGCGTTTTACGAGTTATAATCACACTTTACGTATATTGATCTTGGCGCCTAAGTTACAAATATATACATATCTATCACATAACACACTAAAAGTACAGCTCAAATTACTTCATCCATTTTTTTTTACCTATATCGAAAAAAAAATCAACCAGCATATTATATGTTACAAATAAAATTAGACTCCTTAAAAATCTTTTCATATTCCAGCTCTTATGCATGTTTGGTTTGCTATTACACTAGTCAGTCATTTAATAATGTACATAACAGTTTTACTCATCTCTTTATTAATTATTCATAATTCTATTAGTGTACTACAATCTCTCATATTTATGTATACACCAATTTCAAGAAATCTTAATTGCAAACAAAAATACTATCCTCTTTATTATATCAGGTATATATATGTATATCTATATTTTTTCTTTTCTTGTCCAAATTTTAGTTTTTATCTTGTTTATCCCATAAAATTCATGTGTTGTGTTTTTGTGTATGTGGCGGTGGCGGTGGTGCTGCCCCTCTCTGTCAGACACACCACTTGATTGTTATGACTCTTATTATACCATCACCGTCATCCTCATCATCATCATCATCGTACGATAAAATGTATAAATATGTATGACTCATTCGATTAATAATGTACACTGTATATTCCATTGTATGCATGATGATTATTGTCTGTCTGTCTGGTGGTCTGTCTATCTCTGAAATTGCCTATTTTCGCATTATTCATGATGATTTTTATGTCTCTGTCTATACATTATATGCATATAAATACTAAATTATTAGAATGAATAGTCCCAAAATTAGTACACTAGCGAAAACTTATTGTAATTGTGTGTGTGTGTGACCAGTTCTTACATTTTACAATACAAATCATATTTGTTCAACGTTTTTATTGTTGTTGTTGTTGTTGTTCATAATTCTCTACTGGTTTCCTTTTTTATGATAGATAGATAGATACTCTGTTGAGAGCTGCGATGTTGTGTGCATGTTCGAAAATCAACTCACTAATTAACTAACTAACTAGTTGAATGAGAAGAGGCGATTTCTAGCTCTTCCTAATTGGCTGAAAAAACACGAACCATTTGTGGGCATAGTTGTTCGCCAAACTTGATTGATTATATGGTTAGGATTACCTGCAATATGTATGCCGATTGTGATAAATCTCATGTTTGAGAATGGCATATGCAAAGTATTTATTCTCGTTTTTGTATTTATACCAATTTACAACCTTCAAGTCGAGCGTGATGACTATTTAAAGTGCATGAATATTGGGATATTCCAACCAGAGTCAGTCAGCCAGTAATTACGTAGAACTTCGTAAGTACATACACCAGTTCAAGTTGCTATACCACATTAGCACAGAGACGCACTTGTCATTTCAAATACCATAGTAATAGATGTAGTAGAATTTTAGCAGTAATCGGAAAGATTAGGGTTCGAAAAGGTAGAATTTACTGCATAATTTAGTGCAAAAAATTGAGAAGAGAATGATGAAAGTCTTGAGGAATTCAAAAGATTAAGTTTTGAGAGAACACAAACAGTGCATGTACCGGCGCCATTGCAAACGAGTGCCTTTAAATTGATGATTGAAATAATAAATAGTTGTTTAAACTAGCTAAGTGTAGAAATTCACATACATTCAGCGAATAAAGTAAGATTTTGTCCATTTAGACTAATAAGTTCTGTTTTGAACAGCGGGTAACCAACTATGCAGTATATATGTAAAAAGAAAGAACCTTACCTACGCTTGTTACCCCCAATAGATTATAGGCGGCCAACCAGTATTCTCCAACCTACTCTGTCCTGGGCCTCTTTTTCCAGTTCTGTCCAATTTTTGTTTATTCTTCTCATGTCTGTCTCCATTTTGCAGCGTATTGTTTTGCTTGGCCTTCCTCTTCTCCTTTGTCCTTGAGGGCTTCAAGTGAGGGCTTGTCTTGTGACACAGTTGGGTGCTTTCTACAGTGTGTGTCTTATCCAGTTCCACCGCTTCTTCCTGCTTTCCTTCTCCATTGGAATCTGGATTGTTCTCTCCCACAGTTCGTTGTTGCTGATGGTGTCTGGCCAATGGATCGGAAGTATTTTGCGTAGACAACTATTAATGAACACTTGTATCTTCTGGATGATGGTTCTCGTAGTTTTCTAAGTTTCTGTCTTGACATATATATCCAAAATTGTGACTTTGGGAAAGGGACTATACTTTTACTGAATGTGCGCTAGTCATGAAGCAGTGAAAATCAATTTTTGTGTGTTTAAATTCGACTCTTTGTATTATAGACAATAATTCCTAATCTTGATTACTGATTAAGTTGTACTTGTTTATTTTCTGGGCTTATTTCAATTTTGTCATGATACAACTTTTGTTAAGTATCTTTTTGTAATATTTAAAATTGTGGCGCTTCGATCTGCTTCACCACAGCTAAGTTCATATAAAGCATAGGATTTAGTTTCAAAGAAAACTTTTTTATTATCTGAATCTGGTGTTTTTTAATCCAACTCTACACTATCACTTATACGTTATATATATTTGCTTTCCAAACTGGATGGTTTACGATTGCTAAGCTTTCATTCTCGTTCTATGTTACCACCATCGTAACATCCTTTTTCAAGGTGGTATATAGAAAGCATTTGATTGTGACCGATTTAGTCTTTTGTGCTTTTATGAGTATAAGGGTGGATGTTACTTCCTGGCTACCTACACTGTGAAAGGGTTCTGGTTGTCAGAAAGGGCATCGGCCTCATGATTTACGAAGGAACTCGGCTTTCATGGTGAGACGTCATAACTCTTCGAAATGAAAACCTCCTAATTCTTAGAGCAAAGTTTATATGGTTTGAATTATTTTTGTATTGTCAGCGTTTTTTAGCGAGTTAGTTTTTTTATGGGATCAAGTCGCCAACCCCAATCCCAACCCTCCTCCTTTATCCGGGCTTGGGACCGGCAGTAGCCCTGACGGATCTATAGGCGGAGTATTTTACGTACATGTAAACTCAGTAAACATTGTTGTATTATATTTTCCTATGATTATTGTTTTCTATATTAAATTAAAAAAACAAACAGCACAACGACATTAGTTCCAACAACCTTTGTCCATTGGAGATTAGTTTCAGTTCGAATTTTTTTTGTTTATTGTACAATGATGCACATTCATTCATTCATTCCGCTGTTTATAAATTTTCGCTCAATTTTGAATTGCACTATCTTTTTTTTCACGATACATATTTCTCTAGTCTGTTGTTTGTTTTTTAAACTATATTTTTCAACTAACACTGAATCTTTCTCATTACAAATTTCGACTGAATTCTTTCTTATTTTTCCGACTTTTTTTTGTTCATTCATTTGGATACTTTCGTTATTATGCTGTGTATTGAATGCGGTCAAACAATTTGGACCAGGATTTCTTATCTTTGCCAAGCTTTTTCTCTCTCTCTCTCTCTCTATGTTGATGATTGATTGATTGACTAACTGACTGACCGACTAACTAGTTTCATAGTTCAAGTTAGTATTGTAAATTACAAATACTACTATGAAAAATATATTACTCATTGATTTATTGTATCAACTTGTTCAACAAGTTGAGGTTTGTGTCGTTTGACATTACACTAGATGCAGTTCATCGAGAACTAATGAGATATTGACCATTTTTCTATCTTGAACTAAATGAAGTGGGAGTAAAATGTGAACTAGATTAACTTGTAACTTTTTCTCTTTCATAAGTAGTTACATTTAATATGGTGAATGTTAAATATGCGCTGGAGATTTTTTCTTAGAAGTCGTGTTTAAAACTTTCTTATCAGTTAGTCAGTTACAACATAGGCAGAATTCAGAGTCTTCTGACCACTTTAAGTAACAATGCGATTCTCTTCCTGCAAGTGCAAAATGCTGTTTCAGTGCTTATGTCGATGCTGGAATTAGTGAAATGGAGTAAAGTAATTGAGAGTATTTGGGAGTCTCATCAGTTCTGATAGTCTAGTGTTTGACAAAATCTCAGCACGAATGCAGAAGGCTCGATTGGGCTTTGCCAACTTGCGCCACTTGTAGTGTAGGCAAGGTATTTGTCTACTAACCAGAGGACGAGTTTACTGCGCAGCTGTTCGCTCTGTTCAACTTTATGGGTATGAAACACAGTCATTAAGAGTAGAGCAACGTAGAATTTAGTACACATACACATCAGCTCAAGTTATCTTATCACATTAGCACGGAGTGATGAAACTGTCAGGCCACATCCCCAAATAGTAGTGATAGTGACAGTATTATTGGTAATGAAAAATTTTCCAAATCGATCATAAGATTCGAAAAAATATGAGCCAGTGAAAGAGAGAAACGAGGTAATGAGAAATTCAGAAGTTTCGAATTTAAGTTAAAACGGAGAATGTATGCATATATAGGCCATTAAAATGCCATTCAGAGTTCCTAACCCCTAACAGCACTCACGGTAAACTTGATTTTTCATGTGTGACTTATCCATTTGAATTCCAATGAATTTACTTTGATTTCACCATAGATAGAGATGTATTACTTTTCATGATCTACTTTCACACAATGCGCACCTAATATGTAAATCACTGTTCTTTTCACTGTCAGTAAATTTTATGTATTTTTGGGAAAATTGTCTAAACATTTCGTTTTCTAGATTAGAAATGTTTAATTGTTTTTTTTCTTATTTTTATAAAACAGATGGGTTGGTATTGGGGTCCATTGAGTTTTCAAGAAGCTCAATTTCTATTGGCCAAACGACCAGATGGCAGTTTCTTAGTACGTGACAGTGGTCATGATACACATATTTTGAGTTTAAGTTTTCGTGTACGTGGTGAAACTTATCATACAAGAATTGAACATAATCAAGGTAAGTTGTTGTATTTTTTCTCATATTTTTTTTGATCATTTCAAATTACAAACTAATAAGTAGCTGACATTGCGTGATAATGCATAACCTCTTTGGACCACTGGGCCGACATTCAACGATGTTAATGTCTAACTCTGATCAATCTAGGGGTTGTACGCGACCCCGCCCATTTGTTTTCGGTAGTTACTGCCTCCACCTGACAGGATTGAACTCCACTAGTCACGTCTTCTCACTGGAATTCTGAGAATTTCCTCACGAAGCTAGTCACTAGTGAGCACATTTTACGATATTTTCAATTAGAGTTATTGAGATTAGTGTTTTTATACATTGAAATCATCAATCAATCATTGTTGGATCACCATTAGAAACCTGGAGGGTTCCGGTTTAAATCGTGTGAGTAGCAGGAGTCGTGGATGCGCACTACTGATAAGTCACATACCAGGACGAAACGGCTGTCCATAGCTTCCACGTTTCTAATGGTGGTCTAACAATGATTGACTGATTTCAATGTGTAGAAACACTGATCTCCATAACTCTAATTGACAAATAATTATTGTCATGGAATAAAATACCGTTACATGATTAGAGCTTTGTTCAATATTACATTAATTCTGCCAAATACATTTGAGGAAACTTATTTGTTGACTTGGGTCTTTAAATTGTATAACTTATTTTCTGATATTTCAACTCATATGCTTCCTATGTCTTTGTCTGTGTACAATGACTGAATGTAGTTGATATGCTTGCGTTATTTACTAGTTCACCTTTCCCGGTAGACGGAACGAAGATCAATGACTCAGTGACACGATAGGGTATTCTAATCCGATCGTCCCAGGTCCCACTAACCAGAAGAAGAAGTCTTGACAAGACTGAGAGAATGTATTCCACAGGCAACCAGAAAGTGCAAGGTCAACAAGCACACAACTCGAGCTTATTTATATAATAATAAAACGCCCTTGGTGAAAGCCACAAAATAGCGTACTTAACTGATCCATCAACTAATGACAGTCAAGGTTTCCCAAATGAGAAATGCAAGCTGAAGGTCAAAATGAGCATCTTTGACGCGAAAACATTCGAAATTTCAAAATGAAATTATAAAATTATGACCTATTTCAAGTGATTTCTGAGGATCTAACGTCCCCAACAGTAGTCGAGAAAGCTGACGTTGATTTATTCCATAAAATTATTTCGAACCATGATAACATATTCGCTTAACAATAAAACCACTAGTTTATGAGACATATATATATTGTGATAGTATTTAGTCGTGTGTATATATATTTTTTCGATGCAATGCTAGTGTACGGTGAATTAGCAGTGAAGGCCAAGTGTGAGATGCTAGTTGTAAAGGCAAAATCAATTTATGAGATAACGAGCTTTCACTAACTTCAAGGTGTTTAAGCTATGTGTTATCCAATGTTCCTAGATAATTTTTACCCTTGATAGACAGTCATTGATTTTTCTACTGAAGTATGTCAGAGGATATTTAATATTGATGATGATAAACGTGAATGAATACTTAAGTTGGCATGGTTGGAATTTAATAAAAGCTCCTCGATGTAGGTACCCTTTTTATCAGTCTTAGAAATTTTAATCTTATTCCTACTTGTATTTCGTCGGTTACACGTTGATATGAAAATACCATCATAATTTTTTTGTGCATTTTGTTAAATTCCCTTACCTTATGTCCATTCAACTCAACTCAATTCAACCCAACATTCAATGCCTAAATAGGTTCGAATCTTTCCTGTTCTTTTTTAAATTATTCATGTTGTGTTGATGACTGTATTTTGTTTTTATTATTTCGGAACGGATCAAATAACTTACTGTTTGTGGATACACATCATTGCAAATATCAGATTGAAATTTCAGTTGTTTTAAATTCATTATTGCACAAATTCTAATAGGCTTAGCACTTACTAACGCTGGTACTAACATAATAATAATAATAATTATTATTATTATTCTGAATTCGCCATGACTTTCATCTTTCTCTTCTCAAATTTATTTCATTGAATTATACTCTTTGAACAATATTTTCGAACTCTGATCTTTCCAACTACTGCTCATACTTTTGCTACATCTAGCACTATGTGGGATTTCAATTGATAATTCAATCTCTCTGCGCTAATGTTGTTGTATAATGACTGGAACTGATGTATGTACGTACGAAGTTCTATGTAGTTGCTGACTGACCGATTATTATTGCTACTATAATCTGATGTATATAAAAATACTTCAAATATATATATAATATATTTGAATATTTCACTTTATTCATAATATTACTACCTAATTATTATTTCTCACAAGACACCACATGCAGGTTCATGTTGTTGATTATACTTTTTTTTTGTTCAATACGCACACACACACACTTCATGATAAATTGTATTTTACAAATTATTGATTCCTATTAATAAGAGCCACACAAAGACACACATACACACACACACACTCCTTTATAGTTGTGTATACTTTTACACACTAAAAAAATACACATGTAGCACACACAATACATATGTACGTACATACGTAGACTACTACTTAATAATATCTTTACAGTGTTTGTTAGTACTTGAATTTGGCTAAAAGCCAAATTATTTTATTCGCTTAATAATAATAATAATATCATTATTATTATTATAAACTATCGTTACTATTATTATTACTATTACTTCGATTGTATGTTTGCCTTATAAGACGATGCGATTAGATTGGAATATCTGCTTTATCTATCTATCTATTTGTTCAATTCCAATACACATAAACTTATTCACTTATTGAGACTATAAAATTTATATTCTATCCAGATGCAACAACAACATATCGAATTTCGAACTCATTTCTTCATCATTGAATATTGTTTTAAATTATGTATTTTTCCTGTTAACTGGCCACTATATATATATATATATACACGAAGTTCTACGTTGCTGTTGATTGATTGAGAATTGGAATTCAGATAGCGGAGACTCCACACAATCTCCACAGTGTCTGATACTTGACACACCGATCTAATGTGACTGTTTTTTACAATGCCATGCGCACACAATCCCTCTTGAACTGTATTCACAGCATTACAGCTAAGAACAAGAAACATGTGATGTAGATATTTAGTTTGCTTAATGTCTATCATAAGCATAAGATAAAACGGACCATAGTTTCCAAAATCCACAACAGATTTTTTTTGGATCTAGTTCAAGGTATTTAATTGGTACAACATCGTTTAATGGTATCCCTATCCTCTTTAATCCCTTTTGACAATCAATTTGTAAACGTACAGTACGCTATTTTGTTTTCCATCGTCGTTGTAACATCTCATTATCTTTGTATAGATGTTTTCGAAATTTATCTGATACTTGCTGATACTTTATAAAGTTTCATCCGGTCATCTTTAAGTAAGTCAAACAGTGGGTTATTCTGTGCTATCAGCTGGTCATTGAGGTTGGTTTCTTTTTCATGGATGTAGGAGTTTCTACACTACAGTGACATCGAATATAACTCCTCTATTTGTTCTACCGTGACTGTACGTGAATTGGTTTCATATCTGAAGTTACACGTAGGTGTTATGTTCCAGTGAGATGATTTTTTCGACACTACCTGGTGTTTGAGCTTCTTGGACCCCGCGAAACCTTCGAATTAAAGCCGATACTCTATCTTTCGGGGTACTACCGCAAATTAGTAGAAATTGTCGTGTACTCTTCTCTTAGGCTAACTAACTTAGTTGACAAAGTTTAATTTTGTTGCTGCATTTTACAAGTAGGGACTGACATTGTTCCTAAGACTGTAAGTCTGTGCTAATTCCACTTTTCTCCATCGTCACACATCAAAAATCACCTCTCGCTTTACGTGATATACTGGTTTTTGCAAAATCGCATATTCTGTAAACCTATTGGATGAGATCCCGACCGTAGCTGCTACCTTGACGTGGTGGTCGGGCTTGCCTATCGTGATGACCCAACCGAGCTATACTGGCTGGAACATATGTTCCTCAAGGTTCTACCATGCCAGGCAGGTCGATTGGAGAACGATGAGACTAAAAGCAGCTACCCAAGGTCTGAGGGCGAAGTCGTACTGCTGACTACTGCAGAGGGGTGTGACAGCAGTAAGGTGTTTCCCTCGGACAACCAGCATCTGCAGCGATGCTGCCTTCTCACAAGGAAGGAAGGGTTAGAAAAGGTCGGCCCTAAAAATGTCACACCTCCCCTAACTCACGGATTTCCGTCTCCTTGGGTAAGGGTGCCCACTGGGCCTTTAAGAACGGAGCTAATCCTCAAAAAACATTTGATAAAAAGGCCATGCGTGACTGGCCTCAAGCAGTTGTACCTTGGGCTCTGCGGTCACGCACCAACACTAATCTATCTTCCTTTTCAGGTTCCTCAAGAAACAGCCTTCCACGGTGTGGGCAGCCGGGAAGTGACAACCGCCCTCATACCCATAACAGCACGCGAGACCGAATTGGTAAAAATCAAATCCTTCCTACACCCCCTAGTACCTCTCTTATCTCCACGACTAACCCTTCTCACATTCATTCATCACAGTGTACAGCTAATGCAGACGATACGAGTTCGCGAAACGTCGTTCCTGGTCTCCTTAAACCTCGCTCTAGACTACATGTTGGAGCATTTAATGTACGGACATTGTGTCAAATAGGGCAACAGGCTTCCTTAGCTAGGACTTTAGAATCTCGTGCCATCGATGTATGCTGCGTCTCGGAAACGCGCATACAGGATCCGAGTCACGTCATACACTTGACCACACCATGTCAAAATAAAGAAGCAGCTCGATTTACTCTTCGTGTATCCGGTAGCCCTGATGCTGCTTCCCGGGGTCTTGCTGGCGTAGGCATAGCATTGAGTCGTAGGGCAGAATTATCTCTCCTTGACTGGATCCCTGTAGATAGTCGATTGTGCGCTGTCCGACTAAACGGGACAGTAAGGACTCGGAAAGATAGGGACAATCGCCGTTGTCTCTTCGTCGTATCTGCCTATGCCCCCACTGAATGCAGTTCAGACGAGGTTAAGGATGAGTTTTACAGAAAGCTTTCGGACCTCCTCGAAAAAGCTAGGCGCTCTGATCTAGTAATAATGGCTGGTGACTTTAATGCTCAAGTAGGTAGACTAACTGAACAGGAGAGACACCTAGGTGGATGTTATGGTGTC